GAATACAGGCAGTACTCTGTTTCATGTAGTCAGATGAAAGACTAGCTGAACAGAAAAACAACAGGACACTTTATATCCTTGCAAATTGGTGTATACCAGAGAAACATCTAAAAAAGACAATATAGTATATTATGTATCATTTATTAGTATAAAGTACCATATTGTATACTGATTAGCCTTTATTAGTATATATGTAAGTCAGCAACATTTCCTGTATGCCTTTATACAGCATGCAGCTTATGTTTTAATAGTAATATTAAATATTACATTTTGCATTTTTATTTCTGCAACATATTACAATTAACCTCCTTTTTATTACCTTGTTATTAGCTAATGGATTATCAAACCTTGCTTTAATTCTTCCCAAATCAATGGGGGTTTTTTTTCCTAGAAAAGGAAATACTTTCCATATTTTTCATGCCCTTTGGTCCTGCATTGCCTTTAGAACCCACTGCACGACATAATCATATTTCAGCATCCTTCCATTTCAACCCTTCCATTCGAAGACAGTTTGGAAGCTTCAACTGGTCCACAGATTGGCAACCAGATTACTAACTGGAACACCATACAGGGAGTGGACAACTCCTATGTTACAGCAGCTCCACTGGCTGCCGGTCTGCTTCCGGACTGAATACGAAGTGCAGGTTACTACCTATAAAGCCCTAAACAGTTTGGGCCCAGACTATTTGAATAACTGCATCTCTGTGTACAAAACAGCTCGAGCGCTGCGGTCTGCAGAGGAGGCCCTCTTCTCGGTCCCACCCCCGTCTCGTTGGTGGCAACGAGAGAGAAGACTTTCTCCGTGATCACCCCCAGGCTCTGGACCTCCCTTGCTAAAGAATTAAAAATGGCCCCCTCTCTCCTCTCCTTTAAAAAGCTTTTTAAAACACATTTATGCACTTTAGTCTATGGAGAGGAGAAGGACTAATTACACCTTATATACAGCCTGCCTTGTTGTTGAACATCTATCTTTGTCAATCTGCTGTATACCATCTTAACCCCAATTATTTTAGTCAGATTTTAAGAGCTTTTAATGGATTTAATATGTTAAATGTGTTAAATGTATTGTGTCATGTTTATTTAAGCTGTTTTTAATTTGTTATATGTTTAACTGGCATTGAATGTTTGCCACTATGTTTTATATTGTTGTAAGCCACCCTGAGTCCCCTTGGGTACATAGGGTGGGCTATAAAAAGACGATGATGATCCCAATAGCCAAACTATATTATCTTTGATATTTGCAGCCATACCTGTTCCCCTGTCTTACCAAAAAAAAAGTAGATGGAACCCAATTGAAATAATCATGATATTGCCATAGATTCAAAAGACTGGTTACCTGATACTGCACATTTAACTTTTGTCTTTTGGTCTCAAATTTTCAGCTGCCATATGAAAGATTTGAGTCTGAGGAGTAATAAAGCTGTCATTGTGGACCCATGGAACAAAATAAAGTTTTCTCCTAATCATTGGAAATATGTATCACCATAAAAGACCACCTTAAAATAATGGGATCAATAGCATAAAACCTTCCTTGTTGATCAATGATAGGTGTTACTTCTATAGTATTTGATATTCTGATTTGAGAGGATCTACTCAAAAGTGAGCCAGGGCTCATTCTAATGTTTTTATGGAAGACATAATAATTATTATTATAATAATAATCATCATCATCATTATCGTTATTTATACCCTGCCACCATCTCCCCAAAGGGGACTCAGGGCGGCTAACATGAGGTCAAGCCCAGAATTACAGTACAACAAAATAAAATAAATACAAACAGCAAATAATAACATCAAAATAAAATATATAAAATAACAGAAAATGAAATAAGCAGATGCCAAATAACGTGATGAAGAAATAAAATAAAAGCACGGTGGGCGGGCCAAATGCACAGAATAAGATTGATAAAACCCTGGGTGAGATAAGTAAATGGAGAAGTATGTGTCTGTGGGGGAGCTCAGAAGGAGCGAACAATAGGATTGAGACTTCATTAAAAACAAGGAAAAATGCATCATGAGGACAGAACTATAGTTGGGACATACATGATATGGGGATATGTATTCACTCATCAAAGGCACCCCGGAAGAGCCAGGTTTTTAGGTCTTTCTTAAAGGCTACCAAGGTGGGCGCTTGCCCAATCTCACTAGGTAGCAAGTTCCAAAGCTAAGGGGCCACAACGTAGAAGGCTCTCTCCCTCATCCCCACAAGTTGAACTTGTGATGGAGGCGAGAGCCAGAGGAAAGCCTCCCCTGAGGATCGAAGAGATTGTGCAGGATTGTAAAAAGAAATGTGATCATGATTAAATATTGATTAAATATAATCAAAATACTGATTTGTTAAGATATACTTTGGATGATGGTGATGTTAGTGACTTTCCCATTTTCACATGGATAATGCCATAATTTGGTGCAGCACATTTATTACATGAATTTTCATTTTTCTTCTGTTGGAAAGGAACAAATAACATCAAGCACTTTTCTCTACAGAAATAAAATGTAAAGATAACAACAGAAATAGTTGGAGAAGAGCATCATTTTACATAAGAACGATGCTCATAATTTTCATATCATTTAATTGCATGTTTCTTTTAAGAACGACTTAAATAAAACATTTCAATGAAAATATGGTATTTCTTGGGTTAATAAAAGTTCAGAATGGGGGTCAAAATGACAGGATCAAAACTAAATGAATTACTCTGTTCTTCAGGTCATGTCCAAGAAGCCATCACTGAGCACCACTTCCTTAAAGCTGTCAAGTGCAGATAAAGCACAGACAGGAAACACTAGTGCTTCTGCAGCAGCTGTGTTCGCTACTACGATGCACAGAGCCAGAATGTCCATTAGACATGTTTGAGACTGATTTATGAACATTGGGCTTTCAAAAGTTTCCTCAGATATAGTATAAACATTGATGGTCTGAAATAGCCTCTTATTGGCACACATACTAAGAAGTTGCCCCAGTCTGAAATAAAATTCATAAAACACGCTCTATTTTATGGAGCACTATGAGTGGCACACCCATAAACATATTGTTAACTGGTGTCATTAGAAGAAACAAAGATATGCTGCCATTATCTGCATTGGTATTTTAATGAATTAGAAAAATCTTTGCTAGTATTAGTTGAAATGCTACAATTCAAGGAGGAGGAGTTGAGAATACTACCATTATACCTCTGATTAATAGATACCATCCATATCCGTGCCCTACTTGCCCCACCAGCTCAATAGATATCTTGAGCAATAATCAATCTATTGGCCCCAAGGAAGTGGGAAATTGCTGCTTCTGTTCGATGTTTGATGTTTTGTCTTATGTCTGTTATAACAGGCCATTTTTAATTTAATTTTAGTTGTTAAGCTAAGCTATATGTTGGGTTGTTAAATTTTGTTAGCATGGATGTATTGTTGTTGTATTTGTGCATTGAATGTTTGCCTTTTATGTTTGGAATAAACCCTGAGTCCTTCTAGGGAGATAAAGTGGAACATAAATAAAGATAATAATAATAATAATAATAATAATAATAATAATATGTATAAGATTTTTTATAAAAACAAAGTGTAGGGTATTACAGTAATTATCTCAACACCATGAGCTTTTGGAATCAAATTGATGAGCTTCCACATCAAAGTCTTCCTGCAATACAGGTGTTTCCTCAACAGATCTACTATATTAGACAACTACTTTATGATGACGATGATGATGATGATTACTATTATCTCACTTTTCATTCTGGACCAAAGCAATTCATAACAATTCATAACTTTAAAAACAACACAATTTAAAATCTATAAACTGCACATATTTAAACAGAATTAAACATACAACTATTAAAACAGGTTAAAACTGTTTAAAATCATTGAAATTGTTGCCGTATTCCAATCAGAAATTTGGGAAATGGGTCTTTGAAAAAAATAGCCTTGATAGAAAATGTCTCGGTTTTTGAGTAATATGTATATTATAACAGGCATAGATTTGTTATCCATTTAACAGTAGTTGATAATCTTTGTAGTAGAATTTGGGATAATAATATATATTTAAAATTGTGTAAAAATGACTTTGGGAGAAATGATTTTGTAAAGACAACATCAAGATTTTTTTTTCATTACACAGTCTCATATAACTTATTGTGTAATTATGGTCTTTTTAAATTGAAAGGTACAGTACTCAATAGAGTTTACTCTTGGTGTATATATAACTCTCCAGTGCAGTGATGACTGCTATGCAAACTATTTCAAGATAAAATACTCCCTGCCTTCAACAGGAGATAATTTTCAACAGTTTTACTACTCTAGACATTAAGATGAATGTGGCTCGCATTTCGGTAACCAGAAAACACTTTGAAAAGTAGTATGTTATTTCATATTTCCAGTTAACCATTAAATGGGGGGAAAGAATAAGATTACTCTGTCTAGCAGTTCTTTTTAGAGTTCTAAAATGTCTGATTTTTCTTTTTCGGCATTAGTCAGGCCCTGTCCTTTGGGAGCCTGAGTACAGAGTCGACTTGCTCTTGAAGGAGGAAGCGTATTTAAAGACTCTTTGGCTCTCTCTTTGCCCAAGCAGCTTGACACAAGCAGCACAGTGTTTCCACTCACATCCTTTTTGAACTGAAATAATAGGGAATGAAAGTGAATCTGATATTTCTAAAACAGGATACAGAGCCTTTTTATATTCGCACCATGTGCAGCTTTGTTTGCTAATTCCCGCCTCCTCTCCCAAATTTAGCAGCAATGTTGTAAATCACAAATGAAGGAATAGTCTCTCAAACAGCACACTGCATTAGCAACCTCTAATGCATGTTCAACGCACAGCCCAGATCAATTATGGCCAGCCATAGGATGCAAGGCATACATCAATGTCAAACCTAAATGCAATATTTATCAGTTCCGCATCCTTACACAGAGGAACTTCTTCTGAAGGGCAAACTAAAAGAAACAACAAAAAATCCAACCCTTTTGTAACTCATTAATATGTTTTTTTAAAGAAATGGAATACCAATATAGAAGCAAGCCAGGATTTTACTTTGTGGCTTTTGTTTTGTCTTTTTTTCAACAAGATCATATTGACAAGTTTTAGACACTTGCCTGTGACATGTCACTGAATAACTGAGCTCTTATCCTGAAGAAAGAGGGATTCATAAACTTTGCTACTATCTACCTCATCATTTTGATCTGTCATTTTCTTCTCAATATTAGTTGTTGGAAGCATCAGTGGCTACAATGATTACATATTTGTAGCCACTGGTTTTTATAAACATCTACAGCATTATATGTGACTATTAATGGAGTCATCCATTTTCACTACTTTTAAATCTAGTCAGCCCACCCTATCCATAGATCTACGAATTCAACAACACACAGCTTGAAAATACTTTTTTTAAAAAAAATCTAAAAACCAATCCCTGGCTTTGTCATTTTATATAAAGGGCACCATCTCATTTGAACATCAATGAACCAAAGCCCCATGGATATCAAGTGCTCACTGTAATGTCTGCTCAATTGATTTGGAAAATGATATGCTACAATTTCCCCATAAGACTGAAACTTTATTTTTCCAACAGACTACAGGCAGTCCACGAATTATGAACAAGATAATATGCAAATGCTTTTTAAAGCTGTTTTGAGTCTCCTCTGGGAGAGATAAAGTGGACTATTAACAAATATATAAACAAATGTTTTTAGTCTTGGATAGCATTGGGAAGGGTTAAAACCTGTATAACATTTGTTTTGCTGTTTATGCCCCTCCTTCGGAAGATTTCACTTCACTTCCTATCCCTCTGACAATTGGATTTTGAAAGCTTTGGGTTGTTGTGGAAACAAGGATTGGTGATAAAGCTTCAGTGGAGATACCTTTTCCCCATGATAACTCTTTCAGGAGGCAATTTCCCTTCTGAGGAGGAGCTTTCTCTCACTTCCTGTTGTCTCATCCCCATTTATAGCCAGGAGTTGTATATTGTAACTTACGGACTGTAACTTGGGAATTGTCAAATGTTACCATGCTGGAAGAAGCAAAGACCATCAGCATTGAAGCAATGCTCCTATGCCATCAACTCTACAGAGCTGGCCACATTGTCCAAATACCTGATCACTGTCTCCCAAAGCAGTTATTATACTCCCAACTCAAGAATGGAAAACAAAATGTTGGTGGACAGGAAAAGGGATTTAAAGATGGGCTTAAAGCTAACCTTAAAAACTGTGGCGTAGACACTAAGAACTGGGAAGCCCTGGCACTTGAGCGCTCTAGCTGGAGGTCAGCTGTGACCAGCAGTGCTGAAGAATTCGAAGAGGCATGAATGAAAAGTGAAAAGGAGAAACGTGCCAAGAGGAAGGCACATCAAGCCAACCCTGACTGGGACCACCTTCCACCTGGCAACTGATGTACTCACTGTGGGAGAACACGCGGGTCACCTACCTATCCACCACCAAGACACTGTACTTGGAAGGCCATCATACTCAGACAATGAGGGATCGTCTAAATAAGTAAAGTAAAGAAGCACTGCCTATAGAGAACTATAGAGCAAGCATCCTGTTAGTGATTTACATGCATAGAGAGCCATTTCTCCTGCCCTTGTGCACCATCCCCAAACTGTAAGGGCCCTGGCTGCTCCTTATCAGAGGAAAAAGAAGTGAGGATGAATGGAGTCAATTCAGAAGATGACAGTCTCATCTCTTCTGGTCCCTGGGGAAGGAAAAGGGTGATTGTGCTGCATTTAATAGTTCACTTTCATTTCTTTGCCATGGACCAGCTGGGTCTTAATGGCCTCACATCCTGCTCCTTCCTGTCCCTCCAGTAAACAAAAGCAGCAGGGATCTCTCCTTCAGCTACAGGATCTTGGCCTGGACATGCAAAGTATGGTATGAGTGACATAAAACTGATAACCTCCTCTGTCCTTGCTTCCATTCTTTCCTCATAAAAATTATTCACCCCAGTCATGCATCCTGTGATCGAAATCTAAAACATGAAGTACCACTAATTCACAAGACAAGCAGCAGTTTGAGAGAGTAGCATGCCAGTGTTCAGCACTATGTCCTTCATATCTTTGCTATACTTTAAATGGTACCCCCTGTATTTAATGCTGTTTCAAGCACTATTTTAAAGGAATAAGCTTAAGAAGTAATGCTAACTATCACAGAGCAAAAACAAAACAAAACAAAAGTGTGTATCACTGATCAACATGCCTCAGGAAGTCACAGCTACAAAACCTTATCAAATGAACTGGCTTCATTTCAAAACTCTTAAAATTTCAGGCTCCATATACACAGAGGTCTAAGGAGTCTCCCTGCCAAGTCCTCCTCGGCAGTTAAGGCGACATCTGCATTCTCTCACATAAAAAGGGCCATCTGTACCAAATCAGTATCTTAATTCTTGCAGCTGTGAAATGTTCGTTCTCTTCCTTTTTTCACCTTTTACACCTTTTGAATCACATTGTACTGTGCAGAGCCTGCGCTCTGGGCATTTCTCCAGCTGAATTCACCTGCTTTAAATAGTCTAAAACCCCAGTAAAAAGAGCCTGTAGATGAGCATGCTCAAAATGTGCAACCATTTAAGGGATGTAATGAATTGGACAGCAGCCTAGAAACATGCAGAATTTTTAAATTTTATAATTCAGTACTAATTAAAAACATACCATCGTCTCTTTCCTGGACTGAATTTCCCGGTCCACAAATGACTCCACTCCCTATGGTCCAACTCACGTATATATTTTTTTGTTCTGGATGGAAGTATGCCTTACTTCTGGTTAATTATGGAGCATTATGAATGAAAACCTACCTATTCCCAAAAGGTTTAGGATCAACATCCACCCTGCCCATCTTCTGTAAAGATCTAAAAATGTGGATGTTTCACTGTGCCTTTGATTAGACAATTCTCCAGACAATTTTGGCCTCAGCAATGACCCAAAAATTTCATTCTTCCACTTTACTAATCTTCTCTGGCCAAAGATATAATTTTATTTTATTTTGCCCTCTATTCCTAATTTTGCCATTTTACTAATGCACTTTATCCATCAGCCCTATCCTCACAATTTTTTTTTAATAGTCTTTATTAATTTCCAGTATAAAAAAAACATACATAGACATACATAGACAACATATAAACCAGCTATACAAATTACCCTTAAAAAAATTTTTTTAAGGGTATCCTCACAATTGATTTGCACCAGACTGCCCACCCGTGCCCAGAAACTGGTTATTATTTCAGAACCATTGGTTGTTGGTTCGATGATTGTTTTTATGTTATGTTATAATGTTGTTAAAGCATAGTTAAAGCATAGTTAAAGCAATGGTATTCCCTGTAGTAATCTATGGATGTGAGAGCTGGACCATAAGGAAGGCTGAGCAAAGGAATATAGATGCTTTTGAACTGGGGTGGTGGAGGAAAATTCTGAGAGTGCCTTGGACCACAAGAAGATCCAACCAGTTCATACTTCAGGAAATAAAGCCCGACTGCTCACTGGAGGGAAGGATATTAGAGGCAAAGATGAAGTACTTTGGCCACATAATGAGAAGACAGGAAAGCTTAGAGAAGACAATAATGCAGGGGGAAATGGAAGGAAAAAGGAAGAGGGGCCGACTAAGGGCAAGATGGATGGATGGATGGTATCCTTGAAGTCACTGGCTTGACTCTGAAGGAGCTGGGGGTGGTGACAGCTGACAGGGAGCTCTAACGTGGGCTGATCCATGAGGTCATGAAGAGTTGGAAGCAACTGAACGAATAAACAACAACAACATAATGTTGTTGTTTTATTTTGTTTTATGCTGTTGTTTATGGATTTTAATGTGTTATATTTTAACTATATTGATCAGGCTTGTCTCCATGTAAGTCGCCCCGACTCCCTCCGAGATGGAGGCAGGGTACAAAAATAAAGTTGTTGTTGTTGTTATATGATGATGATGATTATTGTTGTTGTTGTTGTTGTTGTTGTTTAGCCATCCCCTCGACAATCAAAATACTGTGGAAAATAGCAGAGGGTTGTTGATAGCTGTCCCACAACAGCATTATTACTATTGCCCGGGTCTTTGCTCAACTCTGAACCACTTTCTGAAGAACTCCAGGCATCAACACATTTTCTAAGCCCTCGGGCAAGTGCATATCCATGGATCATTCTCTAAAAAGTTCCCTTTCCTTCTCTAATAACATCCCCCCATCTTTGCCCATTCAAGCTGCTTTTTTCTCTAAAATTTCCATCTAGCTTCTTGCCTTTCCACTAAAATTAGATTTTGAAAGAAAACTGACAAGAGTCTTGTTGGTCTGGATCCTGACTCACAGCACAGATAAAAGTATACATTTGCATTGCATCATGGTGTATTTATAATGAAACTCTTTAGTTCTTCAAGCTGTGGCACATTACATATCAGAAGCTGCAAAGCTGAACAGGTCAATTTGAAGTCAGCAAAATGGAATTTTAGGCATTTCGCGCTAACACTGCTTTGTTGAAATATTTAAGTACTACATGTTTCAATACAGGGCTTGGCTCTAAATAGGAGATAAGAAACACTATGACCAGTTCTCCTTCCCCTCCCTTTTGTCTTTCTCTCAGAGAATTAAAACTTGAATGTTGTTCAAACCGAACCACACTTAAGTTTGAAAGAGTAGAACTTTTCACCTTTTCTGCACTAGAAATAAGGAGGAACCAGATCAGGTTTGATCTTGGAAAGCTCAGCAGAGTCAGTTCTCGTTGGATGGGAGACCACCAATGAATACCAGGCATTGTATGTTATATTTCAGAAGAAGGACCTGGCAGAACAGCTTCTGAGTTCAAGAGGTCACAATGAGCTGACAGGCGACTTGAAGGCACAAACATACAAATGCTGATACTCAAACCCTTTTGCTCATGGGCACATTTTAAAATGGTTTCTTGATGTAAATCAGAAAAGTATCTTTTCAGATAACTAGGAAGGCTACTTGATGCTTTTTGATTGCAGCCTCTTTTCCTTTCCTCCTTTCCTTCACTTTCTCAATGGAATTTTAAAAATAAACAAATGGAACAAATTGGCACCCCACTCGGTTTGTGGAGGCTGGCAGCCTGAAGCTGTAACTCTAAACTCACTTAGTTGGTAGGGGATATGTGCTGTGTAATGGACTGTGTCAGTCCGCCAGCCACACTTGGAATATGCCAACTATCTATGGAGTATCCTGGACAGAGGGAGATGCCAAGCAGCATTTGTTTTTCTCCATGAATTCTACAAGCTTAAGGATGTGTATTTGCAGATATACATGTGCCCTTGCTCCATGGTAACCCTCGCAAGCCTTGAAAACTTTGGAGGAAGGAATGGTAGAAGTTCACAACATGAATATCCTCAATGGTGAATGAAGACACACAGTTCCTTCTTAATGTCGATCTTCTTATGCCTACTACTTGCAAGGAACACAACTCTTTTTTTGTTAAAAAGCAGCAGTAGGAAAATATGTGGAAGATGTTTTGCTTGTGTTCGAAGCAGTTCTAAAGAGAATGAGAGATAACAGAGATCCTCCCACATTCACTGAGGTTATGGACACAGGATCTCCATAGAAGTGAAAAACTGTACAAAGAGATTGCTTTTTTTTTTAGAGAGCACTCTTTATTCTTACGAATTTTCCTTCAAGAATAAATAAATGGAAACTGTTGGAAATGTAACGAACATGAAGGGACCTTTTTTCACCTATGGTGGAGCTGCAGAGAAACCCAAAAATATTGGAAAATTATACACGAAGAAATGCAAAAAGCACTTAAAAAGAATTTCCCAAGAAAAGCAGAATATTATTTGCTAGGAATTGTAGATGATGAGATCAAATTGGACTCTAATGAGGATATTTTGTTTATATATTTAACAACGGCTGCAAGAATTGTCTTCGCCAAGATGTGGAAACAGAAAGACACTCCAGGGAAAATCCACTGGATAGATAAAATAAATGAAATAAAAGATATGGATATATTGACCTTTCTTTTAAAAAAGAACACCGGCAATATAATTAAAGAGACGAATTGGTCAATGGTTGAAGAATACATAGATAAATCTATATAAAGAACACGAGGTTATATGGACGATTTGATGGAGAACCTTTTTCTTTTTCTTTTTTTTGTGTGTGGTTCTCGCTATTTTGATATATAATCAATGACACTGTCTGAGCAGAATCAGAAGGGAGTCCTCTTTTTCCTTTTCATTTTTCCTTTTTATTTTTCCTTTTTATTTTTCCAGTTTTTCATTTTTCATTTTTTCATTTTTTTTCATTTATTTTTTTTTAGGGATATTTCTGGACTTTTCTCCTTTCTTTCACGGGGTTTGGGCGGGGTATTTTCCTACTTTTCTATCTTCTTATATTATTCCCCCACTTTCGTTTATTCTATAAAATTTAATAAAAAACTTTATATATAAAAAAAGAATAAATCAATGGGGCATCTGATTGATAGGCCCTCATGCTGCATGTAAGGCATGCCACTTGTCCAAAGGGCCCCTGTTGGGGATGTATTTCACTCTGCAACCATCAGGGATGAGGCGCTTTTCAGCCACCATTTCCTCAAACTCTTCAGCGTTGAATTTGGTGAAGCCCCATTTCTTGGAAATGTGGATCTTCTGACGTCCAGGGAACCTGAACTTGGCCCTGCACCAACACATCTCTAGAAATTTCTAGGTCTTCCAGTATAACTCTATGATTAATTTCTACTGAAAAGTTGGCCACAGAATTGCACTGAAGGACTT